GTGGTCCCAACAGTCTCGTCACACCCGGGGTCAAGGTGATCACGCCGTGGTTACCACACCCACTACAAGCCCCTGTTTTGAAAATGGGCACTATCACCGACTCTCCCCAATGGTCTGGGACATTCTCATTTTCCCAAATCCAGACAAACGGATCAGACAAGAGCTGACTGCAGGTTGGGCGGTCATGTGAGCTGGAAGCCTGCCAACACCTAAGAGAACGCATGCAGTCATAAACCTTCAAGGTCGTGGAAGGCTCACCGCCCAGGGCTATATATCAGCTGTATGCCCCAGATGAGTGGCAGCTGATGGTCAAGATAGCTACTGTTCGAAGTATTTGGCCCAAAGTCAAAGGGGAAGCTCAGAATGCATACCTAACCTCGATCAAGTTGCCCGAGTAGCGCAGTGTATAAAGTCACTGCAGATCAGAGGCGTACTTTGCTTCGTCATTGTTAAATTAGCCGTACTAACTCCTATCAAAAAGATAAAATAGCCACATGAACGCGGGAGCATCCTGGAAGATCTTTGAAATAACTGGACGGGTTGTTTAATTAAGTCCATCACGCTTGTTCAAAAATACAGAAGCAGAGTGTCTGTTAGTTAGTGGGATACGTGTCAGAAAGTTATACTCGAACAATGGGCCTTCTAATAGTCGGCGTATAAAGTGTCGTTATTGGCCTCCAGATCTTGGCTTATCACCCCTCTGAATAGGATACAAAGTCTTGTAAAACAGACTATGGAAACCCCAGAAATTCACAATTTAAAGTGTGACCCATTTGCGAAGATGACACTCTCCGAAATTTTATTAATTCTATGAAAGGTAGTATCCAGAAAGTCACGCATACTAGCTAGTTGGGGTTATCCAGAGATGGCATAAGCCAAAAATATTCCACGCACTGCTGGCATTCTCACACCTTGTGCTGACTGCCAGTCCCACCCTGTTGCTACCCTTTTGAACTTGTGAGAGACTAGCCACTACACATCAGAAGTCCTTTAGAAATCGGCATGTGACTAGTTTGTCACCTACTGAACTTGTCAACCGGCTACAAGGGATGAAGGTATCCACATTGGGTTGCAAGATGCTATGACATTTATGGGACAGATTGTCACCGTACATTACACCAGCACGTAGAATACGACTTCAAATAAAATTCTCAAATCCCTAACTCGCTACACGACATAAGTAATCTGTTCATAAACAAATACCACAAGTTCGATTGGCCTTCCTTCTGAGAATTTGTCAATTGAGGAGCAAGTCAACCCCTACCACGTGACTTGAACTGTTCGATTAAATGATGATGATGATGATGATGCTATACCCTCTCTGTATATGCGGACTGACTTTACTTGCAGGATGCAACCTCTACTGGAAACCCCAGGTAGTCTCGTCCATATAGTACATCTGATGAGCCCCAAGAATGGCGAAACCGGTCGTAGGCTGCCGAAGAATTCTCAGCAAACTTGTGAGTAGTTTGTTCCATGAAAAAATACCAAAACTTCTTATGTACTGATCAGTCAATAGGTGGTTCAGAGGAATGATAATTTCACAAGATAAGTGGAACTTTCACCTGAGAAGTCACCACTGGAGGAGATAGTCAACATGTGACCGCGTGATGTGGTTCTCTCGGTTGATTATAAGTGTCGCAATACCCCGTCAAAGTAATAGCTAAGAAAATAGCTGATCAGCCGCTCGTGGCCGAACGGTTAGGTGTTTACGCTACTAGCCGGGAGGTTGTGGGTTGGAGACTATCCGAAGTTTTGTTAGATGCGCACTTCCAATGATCTCCAGTAAGAATGGGAAAACTTATCCTGCTTCTCATCCCTTCAGCATAGATTGACCTGACTGACAGCTCGGATCTCCACTAAAAGGTAAAGGTTCGGGTGAATTCAACAAACCATTTTCCAATCCATCTTTGCTCAGCCCAGGTGACCTAAAGGCGTTCTGTTTCATCGAGTGAGTGCGCTCTGTGATGAACCAACGATGCTTCTAAGGGGCACGCTAGTAAATAAAAATCCAAGATTCGCTCGTTGAAAGTTCCTTCAACTGCGTCATTCAGCAATCTCACTGGCACCGCATATGAAATTAGCCTAGGCTAGTAACCGGATACAAGTTCTGTCTCTTCTAAATGCTCTGATTCGAACACGTACAAAAAAATTTCTTTGGAATTTCAGTTTCTATCAGACTGTTTGTTTTGTGTCTCACTCTTCCCACCGGGGTCCTCCCAGAGCAGATCTGACATACTCTGTGTAAATGGGACAATGAATTAAGCTCTTTCGAATTTCAAATCCATTGTAAAGAGCAAGCTGGTCTTCTCTAGACAAATCTTTGTAATTTGTTGCGGAATCATCCAAGCAAATCGATATCAAGTAATTGCAACATGGTGCAGCATGACAATATGCCCAGTTTTGCCACAGAGTTCTGATCTCACCGGTCATTTGCTGGGTCAGCATCGTCATGCCAACCTTAGACTTTCCGTTCCTCATCTTTAAACTGTATTAAAATTGGGACACGTTACGCTGGTTGACGGTAGGGTTAAATGAAACGTACTTAAGAAGATCACACTAATGCCACATGATAATACAACCAACTTACAAAACAGTCGTTAAATTTGACAGCCGACTAGTAACCCTGGTTCGACGGCGTAGAGAACTTTTAACCCAGTGATTCCGTTTCAGCAGACAACAGGACAGGATGTCTCTGATAGTCGGACATGTACGTTTCCTAATGGAAGAGTTTCCTGTCAAGAGATATTCCCATTTTCTGTTCGTTATACATCAGACAACTGGCGCGGAATTCTATGTGTACATATAAGTATTCCAGTCGCAACCAAGACGACGTGCTCTTCAACCAAATGCAACCCAGTATACTACTGATGAAACACGCGAGTTGCATCTGGCCAAATATTGTAGATCGCCATCTCTGAATCTGGTGGAAGGTTGGTTTAGAAATTACTAAATTATTTTATCATATTTATTAGTTACTTTCAGGTGTTTAGAAAACGTTTAGAAATGTAAACGCCAGAGAATGTTGCTTTTTCCAAAAGCTCTGTTCAAATAAGTACTCTACTTCCGTGTCTAATAGCTTGTAACCACTTAGTTCGTTCCTGTCACGTAGTGACTGAGAATTCGGCCTTGCATCAGCATGCAAAGTTCTATACCCTCTTTACCAAACTATTTGGGCAATTCGGTTCTCTAGACTGCAGTGTTTTAATAAACGCTGCCGCAAAGCCGCCAATGTTTACCGTCAGTGGTAGACCACAATCGCAGATTGTGATTGCAAAAGTGATAAAAAATAAAAAGGCCATTTAACGATGCTAACTTATCAGTGGAATGTCAGAGTTTGAAAGACATGGACCTGATTGTATGCATCTAACACGTTGCCTAATCGCCCTAGGATTCAGTCGAAGATCCCGAAAATCGTCGACAAAACAACGTCAGTCTTCAACTCTGATGCTTCTCTTCTGGACGCTGTAATTTTGTGGTTTTCCACATTTCTTTTCCTACCGTTTGGATACAAAATAAGAGCAGCTCTCAGACTGGCTTTGGAAAGACCTTGGATTACAGTGTTTTGGGCACCAACTAGCAAATAAATTTCTTGTCCCCGAATCACGGGTAACTTTCGTATTACCTTCAGTGTTCCAAAGACTTCTTCATGCTTGTCAATATTCATCCCGAATTCTGAAATTTTCGAGCGCACGCGGATATCTGCGTAGTTGTTGGTCAGTGTTGAATCAGTGCATTAGCCTCATTAAATTACTTAGAAGCTTCTGGCTGATTGAGGAGATTAGGAGCATTTCCTAGTGAATTTGTTTTTTAGGTGAAGCCCAATCTATGCTGAAAAGCCGAGCACACGACTTTGAGAACTCGTCACAAGAGGAGTCAGTCAACACATATGACCAGGTAATGTGTATCTCGTGATTGAAGGATGAATGGTGTTATATCATGTCGAGTTACTCACACCAATGATCAGCCGCTCATAGCCATCATAAACAAGAGATTCAGTTGGATTCTAGGTGAGTCTCCCGCAGAATCAAATTTGTTTGCAAATGAGTGTACTTCGCAAGCTGTCAGTTGTTCAAACTACCACCCACGAAGTCGCGCGTTCGATAATCCTCACTGGAATTTCGTGAGATTCGTACCACTGATGATTTCCAGTAAGGACGAGACAGCTGTACAGTGCCTCCAGACTTTTCAGCATAGATAGCTTCCAATTAGAAAACGACAGTAAGATAAAAAAAATGGGAATGAGAAAATCACACAGCTCATCCTCTAGCTTGTTTCAATATACTGAATCTAGATATTTGTTTGTTTAACATTTTGCTGTATTCATCATATGTATACAACTTCAACCTAGCTCAAATGACCAGTTATTATCTGAACGGATTTGCACACATCCAATCTTCACTTATTTCGATATCAAAAACATTTTGCCCCTTGAATTTCTCATGTAAAATATATCTATATGCCTACACTACGCCAGTTTATACCCCACTTATGAGTTATGCTTACCAAAATATATAAGCTAAAAGCTGTATATAAAATATACAGCCGCCGTTTACTTCTCATCTCGTGGATATTTTGTTTGCGTAATTACGAAACCCGATCTATTTGAATCTACATCCTATGGCCAAACAGTGATTACTAACCGTGTGATCCTTTGACTATGAGTCTTGTGCCACCTTGCTATGGATTCTCTATCTGAGTGACTGCTTTTTAGAAATTCAGAGTAAACAAGATGTCACGTTTGTTAGTTACCATAGACTGCGCCCCTTCCAAATGAGTAAAGCACATAGTGGTTTTCAGAACACTTGTTCTTCAGCATTCCTGTAAACTCCAAATCCGAGTTCACATTTATTCCTGGTGCTTGAAATGCGGCTTCGGGGAACAGTACATTCATTCGCAAGTAGGTATTATCGTTGACGTCCACATGACGAAGCTGTGGAAAACAGTCATACGAACTTGGTTGAAGGAAAGACAGTATTTCATCTAACTGCAGGGGAGGAAGAAAAGTACAAAAACAGTCGACAGTGAATTTCGATTGAGTAAATATTGCTAAGCCAGAATGACGTTAGAAAAGAAAGGAACTGTGTGGATCTGCTTGTCTTGGTGTTGAGGCGGTGGGGGAAGGCGATTTGAGACAGTCCTTACTGTAGGCAAAATGAAACACGTCATGCTATTTTAGGGGATTATAATCCCGATGTTTTCTAGCTGGTAGTCGGCTAGACCCAAGTAACTACTGTCATGCAAGTCGTTTTCCAATGAACTATTAGAGTTGGTAATGCTCAAATCACCCCGTGAGATGTTCACAAATCTGGCTCATGGTCTTCAAACCATTACCGGCTCACCTTTCATTTGTTCAGGTTGTTCACTGCTAATTCGTGCACGGGATACGCGCTCATCAGCTTGGAGACTGCGCCTAATTGACAAGCCCCAAAAAAGGCGTAACTGGCTGTGAGCCTTCGAAGAATTTTTGGCAGCCTTATGTGTAGCGTGTACGTCTTTACCTTAGATGGTCATTCTGGTTTGAAACACCTCGGCAACTCACATTTATTTATTAGTCATAATTGGCGCTGACCCTGAGTGGTGTAATTTGTCCACATGCCAGTCCTTTCATCATCGTCACAATGAGTATGAAAATTTCATGTAATAAAACACGAAACTTGTTACTGACTTCAGGAACGTTGTGCATGCTTAAGACTAGAGTTTTTCGGGAGTTCAATAACCAGTAATCATGATCCGAACCTTGACCAATCACAAGTCTCATGGGAATGCCAACAACACTGAAGAAACTTCGATCGAATTCCAAAGCGAAATTAGTGCATGCACAAGTGTTCCACGTGCAGCAGAAGATGCCTCTTATTGAAGTCACCAAAATGGTGGATAATTTGTTCATATGACACCTTTCAACATACGAAACAATTCCAATGGGTCAAGACGCTTTTTATTTAAATAAAGGTCTCTTGGGTTGTCTCCACCCACACGCGGTTAGAATGGTCATTCTCTTCCGAATCGGGTGATGATTGACACAAGGCTGAAGTAGTTTGTGGTTCCAGTTATGACATCATTTCAAAGTCACCGGTAACCCTGACTAATAAAAATTATTCCCACTCACTTCAACAGCCATTGGATTTTATTATCAATTGAACTGTAGAGCTTTTTGACATGACACACTACTCATAAATTTGCTGAAAGATCTTCTACAGCCCACAACCACGCCCACTTTGGGCTCATCAAATGAGCGCAGTTCCCGAGTTCTCGTCAACCTGGTGTTTTTCTTGAACCCAGATTGTACGGAATTTTACAAACACACTCATTCGTATACCAATTTGGTCTTCATAGGAGACTAAACTGAATCCCAGCTGAATCTCTTGTTCACGTTCTTCTTCAACTGAATGTTTTGACGAAAAACTCCATAAATGAGCTAGAACACCGGATCTTTCCACCCGCATGCAGTGATGTTAGCTAAACAGTTTTTTCATTTCCCATTTCCCGCCATCACTATTTAGGTAGACTGTATAAATGAATCTTAGTTACACTTTTGTACAAAATGATAATAAACAAACTCGCGGAAATCTTGAGGCTTGATCAACACAGTCTTTTGAAGGTTCGAACATGTGTGGTGACCTGATCTTTAAAAATTGTATTGCACTGGCATTTTCCGCCAAACTCGGCTGCACTTCAGCCAGGCTTTTGAGCCAAAGGTTTTGTTGCAGGACCCTGGTCTTCTTCCTGTCGAAATCGGAGCGCCTTGGAGGTACCCCAGCCCCATACAACTATGATTCATGCAGACAACCATGCCGTGGTATTCAGTGAAGCATCAGTGTTGGAAAATGATATTATGATGAGGAATGATGATTCCAACGAGGTTGTAACATTTTACACCCTTCATTTCCTTGGCTTGTTTACATAAGATCACAGGTTAGTCTCCCTGATCTCTTGTACCAACTCTTGACATTTTCAACATACCGACCCGTCAATGAATTTGACGATAATACATAGGACTTAAATTAACGGAGCTGACTGAGTTATACACAGCTCTTTGTCTGCGCTTAGGTTTTTTTTCTGTGAATCGGTCTCTGAAGATCATCCTTGGTAGTTTCTTTCGAAGTAACTCTTATGATCAGGCTTTGTGCACAATGAACTTACCAGGTCACAGTCGTCCAAATACTCAACAAAATCCTTTTTCTCCAACAAGGCATCCAGTTCTATCCCTAATAAATGAAAATGAATAATATTCGATTCAGGATATGAAACGATTGACGCCATTGATGATCATGACAAAGGAGAGAATACTCAAGCGACTGACGCTGCTGTGGGCGATGTGCATTAACATGAGGACTATAATAAATGTTACGCTGATCCTCCACCATTTCACCAACATTTTCGACCTTGTTATTTCATTAAAAGCCAGTGACACCTGAATTCCACCCGACCAGCTTCTTGTCTTGGTTGAGAGACAGTCAATAAACGATAAAGATTGGCCAATTTCATGGTGATCTTCCATTTTTATCCCATGTGCGAGTTCTACGCATATACTAATGAACCTTCTGATCGGGCTTCAAAATCCAAATAGACTGGAACGTCATTTGACCTGCGAGTTTTTAACTTAAAACTCTTTTGTGTAAATTGGTGACAATGTGGTTCCTTCTCCTGTCACGTGTGAATTCAAACGGCGTCAAATACAACCTTTATTCAAAGCTTCAGACCTGAGGTTGGAATGGAGCTCTGCAATCCCGATGCCCAATTTATTAATTTTTTGAATGTTTCTGACAATCTGTTCTATCATCAACCATTCCGTACGCGGATCCCGTTCAGCTATAACTCAACACTACTTTGATAAAACCAGTACCAGTTTACTGTGTTTTAAGACAATGGAAATATGGTTGCTTTTGCGGCGAACTGGTCGAAAAGGTCAGTTGGTCTAATTCACTATCCCGTGGTTTGTTTGTGTATTTTCAAGAAAGAGATAATTCGAAGGCCTTCTTGAAAGTTAGGATGGTGTTGAAATCCAAATTATTCTCTCAAATTTTTCATTCTTCAACCAAATTTGCCTTGTCTGAAAAAGCGTGATGTTTCAGCTTGTTAAACTATATTCCATATTTGAATCCTAAGTCATAAAACTTGAGAGCAATCTTTATTCTCCTTCCCTCTTTTCGCAAGGGAACCCTGGTCTAATATTTTGGATGTCAGCCTTAGCGAAATATAGGATAGCTTTTGCGCAACGATTTCGGCTGAACGATAATATAACCAACATATCGATTTGTTTGGCACATTGTCCCCATTGTAGCTTGCCAATGACCGGCCCTGACGCTCTTTGATTGTAGCCATGCTTGTTTTCAATACGTTTTCGCCAAATTCATGTAGAGCGGAGGGGAACGGTGTCCGAACCTGGAAGGTATAAATTATAAGCGGCTCAGAAAGTAGAACGATTCCACAAGACCGCGGAACTTCTACTGAGAAATCGCCATTCAGAAATTCCATTGAATTGTGTGCAATTTTTCGCTGATTACTTCTTTGATTTGATTGTAGCCATGCTTGTTTTCAATACGTTTTCGCCAAATTCATGTAGAGCGGAGGGGAACGGTGTCCGAACCTGTATAAATTATAAGCGGCTCAGAAAGTAGAATGATTTCACAAGACCGCGGAACTTCGACTGAGAAGTCGCCATTCAGAAATTCCATTGAATAGTGGGCAATTTTTCGCTGATTACTGAAGAAAGGAAGAAGGCCTTCGCTGCGGAGTTATTTATTCGGAAATGCCAACTGACCGGTTACAGACCATTGAACAAGGAAGCAAAACTCTAATCTGCATCTTAGTTACAAAAACTGGACACAGATCTTCTCCCGAACGAGTTTTCCTGTAGATTCATTGACTCCAATCATTCGTCGGTCAAATCCAAGCAAATGTTTCAAAGTGGCCCCGCGAATTTCGCAACAGAATTCCCTTTTTCAATCGACGCAAAGCGAAATTCTACGAACAACACATACTACTCGCGTGCCTCCCGATCAGTAGTATCACCGTTACACTGGTGGATCTTCGCGAAGGCCTGGTAGTTTCCCAGCCTTGGGCCTGAGAATTTATCAGATATTTGAGGCGAATTTGTGGTCCATTTCCAAGGCCATCGACCACTTAAACACCTTCGTCTTTGTCGTAGGTTCAAAAATTTCTGAGCATAATGCGCATTGTTCAGGATTCCCAATAAAGATAAAGCAGCTTTGCAGTCATTCTCGGCTTTTGGGTCTAGGTGAGCTCCACCCAAACGGCGAAACCTCAGCTGAAAATTACTAAATCTCCTAGCACTACCACCGATAAGCGTTGCGGAAATAATCTGGGTAATGAAGTGGTATGGGGATGAAATACTAAATAATGCATGCCAATCAAAAGGTTTCACCTAAATGGAAGTGTTAAATAAAAAGTTTTGAATACAACGAATTTAAGACCCAGAGTGAATGGCTTATCCATGTCCAAAACAGACACGCCAAACGACTGTGTTGCCCAGTTGCCAAGACTGGTTACTCTTCACATCAAATTCTATCAACCGTGATCCAATAAGCTCGTGAAATATGTGGTGAATATGAAGTGTATTGCTGCTTTTTTTCAAGACTGGCACACTCGTTCAGCTTCAAGTGGGTAAATGGCGGATGCAGCCTGTTCAATCCAAAGTTTCTGATTCCATTCTACTTATAAAGCGGAGGACAGTAGCACCAAGTTAAGTCTAACAACATGCTTTCTGTGGGAAATGAAACCAACAGAGACTGGGGAGCATCAGCCAGCAATGGAACTATTAAAACTGCCAAGAAGCTGAGCAAATCGCTGTTATTCTCGACCGGCGGTTGAATTGCACTCTAAAAAAACACTTCGAATAAGAGAGGGAATAAATCTGAAATCCTGACGACTGCTTGTTTGCCGTTCAATGGTTAGGCCCACAGATCAGATGGTCCTAGAACATTGTTTCGCTTTCAGTGCGCCATCAACGGGTATGCGAAAATCAGTCACACTTTGCGATTACCGTCTGCTATGCCATCATGGATATCGATCTGCGTGCATTGGTCGAAGTGAATTTTGTGGAAACCTAGCAGGTGGACAAAACAGTTCCGAGTCGTTTTGTCAAGTAGTTGTGCCATTGATCTAGTCATGTAGCAAATCGCCAGAGAAGCCTGCCGACGCTTCTTGGTTTTGTTGCTTAAATAAAATGTAATGTGACGTAATCGTTTCGTATAACATTTTCGTACTTGCTTGAATACTTAAATAAATAGTTATTGCCCTAATGATATCCGAGTAGACAACCCTTAAGCGCTGATTACTCTTGGCCTTATTGACTTAGTTTCAATCACAAAACATTGTCAAACTTATACGTTGTCTGGGGTTTGCACGAAGAAACTTTTTGTTTGACCGAATTCAGCTGGAGTTACAAACGTTTTACCTAATCAACAAATTTTCTTTGTGCCCTGGATGCACACAAAAAAGGAACAACATTGAAGTCACCTGTTACTAAACGTAGTACTCTCATGTAACTTGACGATGAAAAGATATACCCAGAAATTGTGGACGCTCTGCGAGGAAACAAATGAGATTTGTAACAGCATTTTACATGAAGTTCGGGGGGGTTGCATCCACTGAAACCCATGAAAATAAAGTATTCGATCGAATTTAAATAACCATCAATGCATTTTCGTTTATTGAAGATAGTTTCGGTTTCCGACTTGATATTCGTAGCACCGCAGTCCAACTAAGATGATATAGTCCCTCTTCAGGGGAGATTTCAACCTCAGAGACGCTTTGTCATTTAATTTAATCAGGCACTCTCGTTTGACAAACATGCATGTGAACAGCGGATTGACTGTAGAATTCATTAGGTAGTTTGTATTATGCAAATATTTCGTAGATTTAAAATGAGATTTGATCCTTTCAGTGAAGCTGATCTATTTTGAAAAGCCGAGAAAATCTGCATGGGAATCCGACTTCTCGGCTCGTAGCTCGAAAAGTTAAACGTTGAGCAATCAGCGGCTGCTCATGGACTTAGAAAAGACAGCACCGCTCACCTTTAATCACGAGGTTTAAGCGACGTATTCACACGTATTGACTAGCTCCTCGAGCAACGAATTCTCATATGGAAGTCTGGCACAACGGGTGAATTTTATCACTCTTTTTCGCTACTTATAGGTGGTCGGTCGTGAAGAGATTCTGGAACTTTTCAGTCCAGTCTATCTTGATCTTTCACTACCCTCTTTCAGGCTACTGTGACGATGATAAAATATCAGTAGCCGCACTAAATCGGTAAGTGATGTCGTTGTTTCTTCCACATACGCACACATACATAAACAACGGAGTAACTGTCAAATAGAGCATTCTGGAAATTTGCAAAAACGTGCACTGCATGTACACTCAAGCCGAAACGCCAGTCAGTAAAACACGGGTTTTTGTGTACAGGGTCTTCAATTCGGTCTCCATTCCCGAGTGAATCCCGAACTTATTCACTATCCGTGATAAAACGCTGCATAAAAGTAAACGGCGTAACCGGTTGTTCAATTTCGAAGGATCCATGTAAGCAGTGTTCTCCGTCGGGGAAATTCGGTAACCAATTTACTATCCTGTCGTTTGCTCTCAAACTTTATGTTACTCGCAGAATGTCAGTAGGCTGAACCAAAAAGGCATGGTTAAACAAATTAAAGCTTACGACGATCTGCGTAAATATGTAGCTGGAAATTTGTCCTGACGCCGCGTGCAGTGTTGAGGGCATCGATAACACCCTAGGTTCCCACCTTCCATTGCTCGGGAAACGACATTTCCGTTGCCTTTATAACTGTGATATACTCAAGATGTACCTCAATAATTTTCCGTCTAGGATGTCCCAGGAGACGTTGTGGAGTAATCTTTATGTAGTGCTTTTTGTTCAGCATCTTAGGGGGTAGCTGGAACAATAAAATCAAAATTAGGAAGACCGTGTAGTTTCAAATGAGTAAAATTGGCGGTCCTAGTATTCGGAACAATATAAATCAGACTCATTAGCCAGATCAGTTCGAATGAACGCTCCACCCAAGAGGGACAAAAAAATCCATCCTCCAATGATATTGAGTTTTTCGGGAGGTGAGAAATTCACTAAGACGGTGTCAAAAATTAATTCAACATTGTTTATTTTGTCTTTATAAACTAACTTGAGAACACCGTTTCCATGTCTATTTCTTAAATGAGAAACAAACGACAATGATGGTATAAGACCGTTGGTATTAACATCGATATCTAATTCACTGGACCTTTCAACAGTTTGGTTGTCATAGTCTGAGACTCCCACGTGCATAGGATAATGAAGAATGGTAGCACAGCATTAGTCAGTATCCGTGTGTAATTATGCTTCCCAAACCTAATTGACGCAGTGTAAGACCAAGAACGTCTATACCCTATAAATCGGATGGATTATCTAAGCAGCATTATACAATAAAATTATGACTTAATGCCCCCTTATTCCTTACCATTCGAACAGATTCAATATACACATCATAATCTATGCTGCATGCCTAAAAGAGATTATAACCGACGAATTAGGATAACTATAAATACAGTATGGCAACTCTAGAATCCTGGAACTTTTATACGTCGAAAGGCAACCGAAACATTTGGAGACGTGCCCAGAGAAGACCAAATTTGGTCTTGCTTATCTGGATTCGGAGAAGATTAGAACAGCAAATGTTTGTCTGCAGAACGCACTCTGTCTTAGAAGTTCAAGAAACAACGGCTCTCACAAAGAAACGTGAGTGGTCAAGCAATGGAGGGAGGTGTATCACAACCCACCACTTAAGTAGGAATATTTTTATGATATTAGATTATAAATCATTTTATCGGATTTGCTGGTCATCTTGTGTTGAGAGTAACACTGTAAAATCAAGTGTCCTAGCAAATAATGTTTGTGTTCATTTACTGCGACAGAGCAAGATACACTGGCCAGCTAGTGAATGGCCCATCCAACGATATGTTTTGGCTATTCAAGGGACTAAAGAAGGTATGTTACAACGCATCTGTAGCAGTCGGTTCACTAGTGTCCTCTCACTAACCATGCTATAAAGGTGTATACTACTTATGAATCACGCGAGTGGTGTATGGTTTACTGTCAATGCGCCGTCCCTGAATCTGATGAAAGACTGATATGAAAATTATTAAGCCGCTTTATGGTGTCTTACATCATTGTTTGGGATTGGAATGACGTCCGGTAAAGTTCAAAGTGACACTTGACAATTCTCACTTTCAGAAACTCTGTGCAAATGAGGATGGACTGGGGTCATAATCTTTAACCAATTCGGTTACCAGCCCTCTCTACATGAAGTAGCCTTGTGCGTACTTGAGGGTTTTGCAAGCCTTCTACCTCATGTGACTCATGTGATGCAACACGCATGGGTGATTGACCACCACTCCCTCTAGCAACCTTCTGTCACCAGCTAGCTGTTCACTACAGCTAGAAAGGTCCTAGATGATAACAAAAAATTTGTGCACTTGCAAATGTTGCCCGACTGGTGATATTTGCATTTTTTTCCTTTTTTTTTTATTTATGTTGATTGCTTTAACGGCTGTTCCAAGTACTAAAGATGATTCGCTTGTTCCAAGTTCCTCTCTTAATAGGTTGGTGACGACAACCCAGATATCTGGAGGCTCAAATCTAGCATTCGTGGTTTAAAGTTTGAATAGAGCTACAGTTTCAGAATTGGCAACCTACTACGACTAACTGATTGGGCAACATGACTTTTGGATCAGAGTTTCAACTGCACGATTTGTCCTGCACATATTTCGGAGAAGAGATGAAACACACAAAAAATTATAATGAAGAATGGAGAGACTTGTACCATATTTCTACCAGTGGATGATACGCTTGAAGTTGCATGAGATGTAGGTTATAAGTATGCTGATTATCTGAAATCCAGTCATAATGCTAAATGCTAGCTTGCCTGGACAACGGGAGGTAAACAGCCCAAAGGTCATGACAAGATTTAGTGCAAGAAGCAAATATTGCGATATCTTAATACTTATTTCACCCCTCAGTGCACCCTTCCGACAACGCATCAAGAGGGTAGGAAACCTCCTTTCTCGAGAATGTTTTTTTTTCGCCAGTGACTGATGCGCTGTGTTGAAAAAATTCGAGGTTTTTCGAAGGCTCACAGGTTGAAACCAGGAGTGCAATCGATTAGGCAATTAACGAGCCCGTTATTTTCCGAATGTAAAAAACAATACTTTTCGTTTGCGAATATTCAAAGAGTGATTCATTCATTAAAAAGTAAAGTGTGTAAACAGGCGGAGATAGATTAGTCATTGTGCGGAAAATCATGAACATGGGTCGATCTTCTTTGAAGTGCTACATTCCTTTGATAACTGGAAAATGTCTGGTAACTCCCCTCATCTGGCTAATCTTGTGACTGTTCCAGGCCATACAGCTCACATTATTCGGTCGAGATTTTCTGAAAACAGCGGAATATGTCTCTACCTTGTGTTTATATAGCTTATTCTGACCGAGGTTTACATGTGATTTCTCATTGTCTCACTTTTCGGACCATTCTGCACGTAGATCAAAAAAGTCGAATTAAACCACTTGTGCTACGCAAGATAAAGTCCGTATTAGTCTATTTTGTGTGGGGTTTTTCAAATCATTCTTGAAAGCAGCCGATGATGACCGGGAGCGTCAGTTTTATATCTGTCGGAGATAATGAGGTGGTAGTTAGGCGCATTTCAAAGAACGAGTACCGAAAAAGGGTGACTTTACAATAGTGCCTTGAAAGCTTAATGTCTGGTATGGAAGGTGTTCGCTGATGACTTTCGAGATTCTTCGGTTCTGGCAGCTAGTCAAGTTATCTAGGTTACTGACCTCAACTCTACCTATTGCTCGGATTGCAAGTAGGAATGGTTTCACGTTAAAACTAGGTGTACCGAGATACAAGAAAGTTCAGAAAGAACAACCGGAAGGGTATCCGCGAACTCCAGCAATCGACTATTGCAATTTGTGTTTGCAAATGAACGATTTAAAACAGATGGTGAAACGTAAGCTACTGTTGGGGACGCGACCTTACGTTAGTTTGGACTTTAATCACCCTCCCATTATTACCAACATGATTGTTTGCAAATGAACGATTTAAAACAGATGATAAAACGTAAGCTACTGTTGGGGATGCGACCTTACCTTAGTTTGGACTTTAATCACCCTCTCAGCATGACGACTGACACCAGGACACCAGTAATGCATACCGGTACTTAACTGCCATGGCCATTATCATTGCGTTTTGCGTTCGGACTAAGCATGCCACCGAGAGGACCAACCTGCGCATTGGAGTATCGTGCTAATTTGACCATATCTGAAGTCTTCCTGGTGGATAAGATGCGCCACCAGATGAGCTATTGCGGATACTACGAAGGGTCACATACGTTAACTAAACTTCCAAACTGATTGGCCTAACGAAACAACCTAATGAATTAGTAGTGTGTCTGTCAATGCCGTTAACAGGTCCCTTGTTTAAATTTCACGAATCGGATGTTGATGTGGCTCGGACACTTCAAACGCACTGGTTTAGAACTGATCAGAAACTCCTCTCCTACTGGATAGACTGTCTACGTTGGGGTTTTTTCCACTTATAAAAATTATGCCAACATGATTGTACCCATCCGCGGCGCAAACTCTACGGCGTGACTTTTGAAAAATTAAGCGAGATGTCCGCCCTTCTGGGACAGGTCCAAAGTGATAGCACCATCTCTGCTGACTAAAGTAACAGGCTAATGGAAGCTAACTTGAAGCCTGTTGGCTCAGGGGAACTGGAGCACGTGAGGCCAGTCGGCTTGTTTCAATGACAAAAAAGATATGTTTAAGTGGTTCCACCCGTAGACTAGCTAAAGACGACCTTGTCACTAAACGGCTGCTTCTCAGTTGTCAGTTGCGAAGTCACCTCATGTATGAAAACGGAGTTGAATGACAAGACGAGGTAGTTGACTGGATAGGCTGTTTGCAGGACGAAAAATATAGGAATCACCAAGTTTGTGGTGCGTCAAGGATCACACCTTAACAGTACATGGTGTAGGGCATGGTCCTCTAACGAATATAACCATATAATAATTGAAATGACCATAAGGCATCCGCTGCTACATATTTAGACGTCTGTATGCACTTCTGGCCTACTAGGCCTCCAACATTCATGGTGCAGTTCAATGCTTTTAGGAAATCACGAAATCGAGCTGACGGTTCCAAGAAGAAGCTCTATTAAGCATGTTTACGACGTGTACATTGGGCGTTCAGTTGCATATGCATGATATGCGACGGTACAGCTTAGTAACCCTAAGTTAAACGACAGGTCGTCGGTGCCCCTCTTTCTTGCATGCGTTATGTATGACTGGATGCTTACTAACCGATGGGCTAACCTCACACTTCATTAATCAAGAATGGTCCATATTTTTATCTAGTTTTCCTCAGTTAGAACACATAAATCACGTAATTGTTGTGACGAAGCTCAAAAGAAGCCTACCTCGTTGTGTACTTGTCTTTTGAGAAATTCTTTCGAGCTGTCAAACGTTTTACTTGAAAGCCGCAAACTGAAATCGTCATCGACTTCATGGAACATGATCACGTCTGGAAGGCAAAGTATAATAGAAAATTTCACCTACTCTTTCCAAGGAGTGTGTTGTCAGAGGACAGTCTTACTTCTATATTACTTACGTGTGTTGAACTGAACTTTTCCGTCACGCCTCGTGAGAATCTTTGTTTCGTCTCTTTCGGAATCGTAAAAGTGAGAAATATGTGTAGTAACAATACGAATGACATTACGATCAGTGTCATTGTGATTGGTATCACTGTTACCGTTTTACAATCTTTAAATTTCGGAGCCTTAAATTTCATCGACACAAGCTCGGAACCGTTTTTCATTTCATCTTGACTGAACCAAACCGTAAGGTTTTAACTACGTCATATTTTTTTACTTATTGTACGCCTTCATTTGAAAACTGAAGGCTCTTGTCAAGTGCCAACTCACCGGATATTTCATCCCAAAGTATGTCCACGGAAGATCGAATACCTGGATGGTGCTTACGTAGCTTCTCATTCAGGACAAACAGTTTGCTTTCAGTATCCGTAATGTGTCTCAGTTGCTTGTCCGCCATATCTGTTGTATTGGTCTTCACAAGCACTGGGCTTATTGTTGAGGTCAAATGGTCGTAGTTGTATCTCTCGATTTCGCAATTAAGGAACCACGGATCCGGTGTAATTATCTGTAAACAAAGTGAAACGTGTGGAATTATTATCCTTATCCCATTGTATCGCATCCACACACACAGGAAAATGGCTAACTTATGCATAGGAATTAAAATACTTCGTGGGATTTCAGTGATTGGTCTTGTCATGGGACCCGCTGCTCAGAAACGAAGCCGATTACCCTCAATGGACCTTCAGAGACGCTTAAAACACATTTTCCAAGCATATCTCGTGATAATTCTGTTTTCAATTTTCCGTAGTGCGTCGGTTGAACAACTTTTTAACCTACATTAACGACTACCTTAAGTGACGATGCAGTTATCCGTGACAATTCGGGTAAATTTTATACCGCAGTTTTTCACCTCGGCGCTTAAGTAATTTTAGCTGGGTAAACTACGGAGTCTGCGTGAACTCCTGGAGCGCCCTGGAGAGAGTTATGGTCAGAAAACCCACTGACATGATATAAAATAAACCGTGGTTTCGATTACTTTCGCGATTTCAGGCTTATAGAAACACTGTTAAGTTCCATTGTTCGTTCAATGTAGATTCCTGTAGATTCCTGTTCTAATGAACGGCCAGTCGTAAGGGAAAACTTGTCACCCGAAAGCTGAAATCACAGTGACAATGCATTGAAGCCTCAGGCCTTGTTGTGTCATCCCGGAGAAACACTACTTCAGACAAATGGTACTCAGCTCACGCCAGCGCTCGGAGGATTAATTACAATTTCGTCCCAATGAAGCACGTGACTAAAGTTTGCGTCGAACCGAATCGGCTACCACGATACTAGCTTAGATTAAAACCATCAACTAGCTGGAACTCGAAATTGAGTTGAACAGCACTGGATTGTACTATTTTGGGAGAAATAAAAAAACTGATCAATTCTGACCATGTCTACGTGAATACAAAGTTACTGGTTCCCGTCGGTTCGGAACATTAAATCCCAAACAGCGAAACTGAATCATCGTTCGTACAAATGAAGCAATACTTGGCAGGTATGTGCAATCCATCCTCAGGGACTGAACAGATTTGCAGTACGGTTCTCAAGGTGGCGATTCCTCCAGTGAATCAGTGGTGTTCAGCGATTATTCCTCTCTTCTGTACTGACTACTCATGAGTGGAGTAACTGTCGTCCGTTTATTATAATCCCGTTTCGTTTCCTTGTTGCTCATCCCCGGATTTTGGCTCCTTAAGGTCTGCTTACACCTTAGTGATTGATATCAATATTTAGTTGCCTGTCCGTCCTAGCTTGCTATTCGTGTCATCTCCGCGTCCGCCCTGACGGGAAAGCAGAACTGCCGGGAGTCGAACTCAGAACTCGTCGGATGGGAACGAGAGATTATTCACTCCACCAACTCGACACCTCGGTGGATCTTATTTCTTGTATTAATTAATACCAGATCTACCAGACGGCTTTCTTTGAGATTTGTTTTAAACGTGCATAAGCGCGCAACCCCATTTGGCACGTGACCCAAGCTGCTGCTTAAAGCCATCAGCCAAAGACAGTTCCTTACCTCCCGAAAGTACTGATTGTTTTCTGCTCCGTTATTTCTGTATACGGCCAATTCAAACTGACTGAACGCCCGTATCTGTACATTTGCACATCATTTGGTAATTATTGCTCCCAAATAGCCCTGCTAACTCACTGATAATGCATCTGCTCCTACCGATTGCGCTAGTATTGATTGTACGTTGTTTTTTAACCCATTTGTCCATAGAACCAGTTCTTGGCAGTTCTCAATATAGCATCTACCGCCCTCGTCTCTCTATTCCTACTGCCCACTGAATACGAACTACCTCTGGTCCGATAGGTGCAATCGTCCTGTGTGATCCTCATGTGCGCGTATGTTACACAAGGTTTTACGGACGATAGTGTTATGTGGTCTAGCATATCTCCTAAATAGTGTTGTGCGCCAACCATGGAAGGTCCCAGGTCCGTGTTGAAGTGATTTGTTCCGTGTGTCGGTGGTGATTTTCATATTTGGCCACTTCACTTAGATGGGAAACAAAAGTTCAAGTTTTTATCTGTCCACGGTACTTTTTATACAGGTTTCCCTTTTAATTGGTTCAGTCAGTGCCACTCGTATCTTCAAGGGCAAATTTCACTGCGATTTCCCCATCGGGCGTAAAAAACACGGAGTGAAGTGTAATTTAGTTGGTTAGGGGTAGAATCGCTCATGCTGAGGGACTCTAAACACGAGAGTGAACCCGAAGCGTGTGTAAACAACCCACACACACCGAAACACTAAACACCGGTGGTAAAAAGTACTGCCCCAGGATGTTTCCCGGGCAATTCAGCATTATCTAAATGTCACAAGTTTACAAAATTCTAAGGACTGACTATCCACCACGTAGAAACCACAACAGAGACCCCTCCCTTTGTTCATTTGCAGGGTAGCATAATGACGATATAATTTGCTTGTGAACACCCATAGGAGCAGCGAACGGGCAGGAGTTCACACTACTAACCGTGGAATGGCGAGTTTCAAACTCTCTGGAGTTTCTTGATATGCTTGTCTAAAGCATGTATTACCATCGCTGAGTCTTTGACCAGCGTTTGGTATTCTTCTGCATTCCTTGGTGGTCTGTTAATCCTTTTATGCTCACCAATTCTGGTATGCAATTCCCTGACAGTTTGTCATATATATAAAGACGATTACCTACCAGAAACGAGCAGACACAGGAACCGTCTTAAACTATTCATCAGCACATTCAAAGTCCATGTAGGCCAGTATTGTCTCATCGATGTTTC